ATCGGGTTTGATTTGAAATCAAATCAAACCCAAACTTGGCCTAAAGTTTGATTTGATTTGGGTTTGTAGGAACCCTACTCAATCTGTTCTACCATTGTATTAATTGACTGAAAGTTTTTTTCTACACTTTTACCTCACTTAATATTCTTTGTGTCTTTATGTTTATATAAAAGATCAAGTGCTTTTTTTGTTGTATTAATTAATTGATCAAAAAAAACATCCGAATCTTCTTCAAACTGATTATCATCAAATTGATCGTTGAACTTGTTACACTTATTGAATTGATGTCTTGAGTTTTTGATTCAATTATACAATTAATTTAACTATTATCATTGTCCTCAGTATAATTATTATTATTTATATTAATTGTTGAAGTTTCAATTAAAAAAGGATAACAATTATTCTGCTTAACATAATTAAAAAATTGAGAAAATACAGTTTCTTTTTTTTCAACAAAATGTTTGCAGATAAAGAACCGGTTTGTAAGATAATATAGACAGCTGCAAACCCAATATTCCATATTAGTTATATAACTATTTTCATTAACAATCTTGTTTGCCAATCATTTTCATTCTGATTTTATTGCTTTTTGCCAATCTTCTTTTTCTCATCCAAGCCTAATTTGATCAAATTTATGCCTTTGGTGTACAATTACTTTTTTCATAAGAATGTAAGTAACTAGATCAAGTCTTGGATGAAAAAATTTATAAAAAAAATCTCACTTAATTACTTTCCAATGTGACTCAATAAACATTGTAGTTTTTAATACCTGCTCTCATCTATAAAAACCATCGATCTGCACCATACCACTCTTTCCAAAGATAGGTCCAAAAAAAAAGTAATGAATTATTTTTGCAAAAAAAATAAATTTCTTTTACTGCTTGTTCCCAAATTTGTGAGCATGTTAATACCAAATTAGAAGAAGTTGGTATTAATGGATGTAGATATAAATGTTTATCCATTAATTTCCAAACTGATATATGTAATTCTTTTGGGCAAAAAATTGTACCTTTTTGAACTGGTAGTTGTGGAACAAAATTTTTATTAACAAAAGAGAAATACTTAAGACTATTACTATGCTTATAAGTAATTTTTAATAGAAAATTATTTGAAACTAATTGTGCATCAATTGCTTTTTTTACATGCTAGTGACACAACTGAATCTTAGCATCTGACCAAGTAAAACATATTCCAGAAATTTGTGTGAAATCTTTGTCAGATAATACAAACTCTGGCATTATACCTTGTAACTTAATTTCATTAAGAAAGCTTAAAATAATTTCAGTTCGTATTCCATTTCCTGATTTGCCATTACCCTCTAAAAACAAATATGCAATCAGATAACCTGAACCATCAACTTCTGCATGTAATACAAATAATTTGAATCTTAAATTGTTTGTATTGTCTATATATAAATAAAAAATTTAATATATATATGTAAGTATATATATATATAAATAAAATAAAATAAAATAAATGAGTTATAAATACATGTTGAATCAATTTCACATTTGTGTATGTCAATATTTAATTGTTTAAAATAATCAAGAAAATCTGTTAAAAATCTAATTGCTCAAACAGGTGTTGTTGTATTTACAATAATTTTATAATGCTCTTCTTCAATCCATATTAAAGCAGATTTAAAAATATCATTATGTCTAATATATCTATTACTTCCAAAAGTTGTCTACCAATAATAGATTTGTTTCTGCACAATTGACATATCCATACCCTTATTAATCAAGCAAGCATAAATTTCTCGTAATAATAAATCAATATTGTCTTTAATGTATTCTTTAATATCTTCTGGTACTGTTATATTATTTGGCTTTGGATGTAAAATATTATGCTCAACTATAATATTAGCAATCTGAATTGCTAAATTAATACTTACTTTAATACAACTATCACAATCATATTGCTTCATTGTTGTAAAATCTCTTGTTTTTCTGTATTATTATATTTACGAGGCTTTTTTGCCATATTTATTTATTGGGAACAAAAATACCAGATACTTGTAGCTTGTTTACTATCATATTTGTTGTTATATCTAATAATAATAAAATATTATTACTAAAATATGTAATAACTTTTATTAAAATAACAAAATAATTTATATAATTATTATATCCAAGAGTATTCATCAACATCGCTAACAATATTTATCAAATTATTGGTAATTTCTTTAATTTCTTTTGAAGATTCAATATAAAAGGAAATATCAACAGTACATGAAAAATGAAAGCCTAATTGATTATTTTCTTTATTATTTTCCATTATATACAAATCAAAAAGCTTATGAATATAGTCTGCAAGATTATTTGGATTCAATATTTCATTCAGTATTTCATTCTTGTTCAATAATTTAATATTTTTTCTATATTGCTTTGATTGAACTCGACATGTATCACAAGTGCCAGATTTTTGATTAGGTTTTGGATTTTCAAACTCCGATTTATCTTTATTGACTTTACATCTAGAACAAAAAATTTGTTCAGTAGTACTGTTATTCATTATGTCTTTAAATAAATGAATAGTGTAAGTCAATTAATATTTTATTAAAAATTGTTTAAAGATTGATTTTTTACTCACATGTTAATTATTTTTCAATTGTGTTCTTTTTTTTATATCCAACCCTTTCTAGTATTAACTTTCTCTTTCTCTACATGATACTTCACACAGCAAATCTACACACAACACTTTACACAACAACACACCACACTTTACCTTTGCACAACAACTTCACCTACACACAACACCTTACAACACAGCAACTTCACCTACACCAACACCTTATAACATGGCAACACAATGATGTTAACTTTCACTTTTTATGCTATATAACAATACAATGATATTATTAAAGTATTAGATATACGTTTGCTCAAGAAAATGAAATAAGAAAATTTTGATCATATACTTAATTAAACATCTATTTATTGAGTTATGCAAATTATAATGAAACATTACATCATTGTCTGCAAATAGACCCGAAATTGTATCATTATTTGCAAATAGACTCAAAATTAGAAACATTACATCATTATCTGTGAATAGACTCTAAGTTACAATGAAATGATAAGTAACTATAAGAATTAGTACTGTAATTTTATTGGCCAATTTCTGTCAACTACATTTTTTTTACTAGGGTAGTTTAACAATTAGTGAAGGTTTCTCAACAGCCTTCTAATTAAATTTGACAGAATTTTTTATTTTAATTCTAAAGTCTTATAGAATTAGAATAAAAAAAAATCATAAATTTGCCTTAGTAGTTATAGAGAAACTTCACTTAAAGTTTTAAAAATTAAAATATATTAAGAGAAAATAAAAAAAATCAGGAAATTTTTTTTTTCAAACTTAACTTGAATATTTCTTGACAACCACCCTAATCAAATTGAATTAAACCTTTTATTTTAATGCTACAAATGTGTAGAAATTAAAATAAAAAAATTTCATCCAATTTGGTTAGGTGGTTCTTCAAAAATCTTCATCTAAATATAAATAAAAAATTTAGCTACAGCTTCTTTTTCATGGACATTTAAATTTGAACAAAGTTTTCTTGATAACACCTATTTAAATTTGATAAAAAAATCCTTTATATTAATTCTATAAGCTCATAGAATTATAATAAAAAAAATTTTATCGAATTTGGATAGGTAGTTATCAAGAAAACTTCGTTCAAAGTTAAACGTCCATAAAAAAGAAACTGCGCTAAATTTTTTATTTATCTTTAGATGAAGATTTTTTGAGAACCACCTAACCAAATTAGATGAAATTTTTTTTATTTTAATTCTATGCATTTGCAGAAATAAAATGAAAAGGATTTCATTTGATTTAGTTATGTGGTTGACGAGAAACCTTCATGATAAGTTTAAAAAAAGAAAAATTTCCCGGCTTTTTCTCCTTAAGATATTCCAATTTTTTAAAACTTTAAGCGAAAATTTCTCAATAACTGCCAAAGCAAATTTGATGAAAAATTTTTTTTCCCGATTCTACAAGACAGTAGGATCAAAATAAAAAAAATTCATCGAATTTAATTAGAAGGCTGTTGAGAAACCTTCGCTAGAAGTTAAAAAAAAATTAACCAATCATCAATTAATACTGTAATTTTATTGGCCAAAGTTTGTCGATCAGCACGTGCCTGCATTTTTTTTACTGGGTACGCTGGGGTAGTTGGTGGGATTACAGAAGATCAGTATGGTACGACTGACCGGATCAGTCTGGTACGGATCCAATTTTATCAAACCGTACCATACTGATCTGCCTATAATATAATATCAAAATGGTATGGTATGGTTTCCCTATACGAATCGTACCATACTAGTCTTGCTTTATATTTTAGCATAATACCTAGTATGGTATAGTTTATACATATTTAAAAATTGTACCATACTAGTCTGTTACTATACTAAAAAAACTATATTAGCAGATCAGTATGGTACAGTTAATAAGATCACATTCGTACCATACTGATCTTCGTAATACCTTTTTAAAATATCAAAACGTCAAAAATAGAGGCTGTCAAAAATTTTCCTAAAAATTTGAGCGAAGATATCTCAGCAACTATCTGATCAAATTCAATGAAAATATTTTATTTGAATTCTATTGATCCATAGAATTCAAATAAAAATTCCATCGAATTAGATCAGGTGGTTGCTGAGAAATCTTCGCTCAATGTTTTTTTTTTAAAAAAAATCAAATTCGCCTATAATACAAGAGTGAAAAATGTGGTAACTCCACAAGTTCTCGTTTATTTGAGCTAAATATTTACAAAGCAAAATTTTAATATATTTTCTAAATGCCTTGTTATTACGCAGTAATTACTTTAGACCGAACCTTGGTGGGCACCATGAATTTTCACCATAATATCAAAATAGAAGATTTCCTAAAACTTTAAGCGAAAATATCTCAGCAACTATCCGATAAATTTGATGAAAAATTTTTTAATTGAATTCCATTTGTCCATTGAATTCCAATAAAAAAAATTTTCAACGTATTTAATCAGGTGGTTGCTAAAATATCTTCGCTCAAATTTTAGGAAAAGTTTGGCGCAGCTTCTATTTTTGATGTTTTAATATTTTTAAAAACCTTTGAGCGAATATATCTCAGCAACCATCTAATCAAATTCAATGGAATTTTTTTTATTTGAGTTTTATGATTCTATAAATTCAAATAAAAAAAATTCATCGAATTTGATCAGGTGGTTGCTGAAATATATTCGATCAAAGGTTTTTAAAAATATTAAAACATCAAAAATAGAAGCTGCGCCAAACTTTCCTAAAATTTGAGCGAAGATATTTTTCAAACACCTGATTAAATTCGTTGAAATTTTTTTTTTATTAGAATTCGATGGATAAGTGGAATTCAATTAAAAAAAGTTTTCATCGAATTTATCAGATAGTTGCTGAGATATCTTTGCTCAAAGCTTTAGGAAAAATTTTGACAGCTTCTATTTTTGACGTTTTGATATTTTAAAAACTTTGACTGAAGATATCTCAACAACAACCTGATCAAATTCGATGAATGGTTTTTTTTTTTTTTTTGAATTCTACGGATCTATAGAATTCAAATAAAAAAAATTTTGTTGAATTTGATCTATTTTTGATAAACATTTTTTTTAAAAAAAACCTCGAGCGATGATATCTCTGTAGCACCTGATTAAATTCGACGGACTTTTTTTTATTTGAATCCTATAGATTCATAAAATTCAAATAAAACAAAAAACTCATCGAATTTGATTAGACGGTTGCTGAGAAATCGCAACAATCACGTACAATCACTATTTAGGTTTAAAAAAAATATAGTATTTAAGTGTTTTATCTTATTTGCCCTGGAATGTTAGATAAGCAAGAAGCAATATAAATAGTTTTAATATTATTATGGCTAAAATGTCTACAGGAGGCTACCTAATTATGATATTGGATATGAGTGTTAGCTGTTAATTTATGACGTTTTGAATTACTAAAGCCAATTCTAAGTGATATTGCCAATTAATAAGCCAATATATGGATGCTAATCCTTTTAATAAACTAAACAGCTCTTTGTCTGTTATTAATTATTGAGTTTGCACTATTAAACGCATTCAAATCCACAAGTACAATTATTCCAATATTATCAATCACCAATAAGTCCATCAAAATGGGTCTAAAGAAGTAATTTTATTTGAAAATGTTCGTGTCGGGGACGTGTTATTTGAGAAATATTCATAAATGTTTGTCGTGAATGGTTGTCAGAGAAATGACTATGGGAGAAGCGGATGTCAGGGAGGTGGCTATCGGGGAAGTGATTGTCAGAAGTCATTATGCCGGGAAGTTGTTTGTCGAGTAGGTGATTGTCGGAAAGTTGTGCCGGGGGAATGACATGAACCCTAAAAAATAATGAGAGTAGCAGCTTTTTTTGTTAAAAAGAAAATATAAATTTTTAAAAATTGCAGGTAACGGCGAGTTTTTTGGAGGAATAGATGTATAGCTAATTAGAAATGGCAATGTTCAATATTTATTGGTTTTTTTTTTATTTTTATTTTTTAAACAACATTGATTCATAACATAAATAGCATTGAACTTAACAATAATCGTCATTGTAATAATGATTGTTATCAGTGCCATTTGTTAATAGGTAAAGTATCAATTTATAGTAGCGAATGAGTCAGAATTAAAGATTTTTATTAGATACGGAACTTTTTGCGAGATTATTATTCAAAGGCATTTGGATACATGCGATTTAGTTTATATATGAGTCACAACCGGCTATCTTGGGTAGGTAAGTTCTTATGGAATCTTCTTTAATCACGAATTCATTTTTAAAGAATTTTGTGATTAAGGTAATCTCTGTTATCGTTGTACATTATGAACTAACATATCTGGCGTTGTTATTCTTCAGGTATGAATCAAAAAGTATCATCGTTTTAGGTACGTGTAAATTGGTTAGTTCTTTTTATGGTTAATAGGTTAAGGAAATTGAAATAACAATATATCAATTGTTTTAATGTAATGAGAGCGCCCTAAGAGCAAGTACTACAGTCAGACCTCTCTAAGTGCACCCTCTATAAGTGCACACCCTCTCTAAATGCACACTCAAGTGCCGGCCCAAATATATACTTGACCTCCATAAATGCACCTTTTCTTATTATTACTTCATATGCACGTTATTAAAGTGTGGTTCCAAGGGTGTGCACTTGGAGAGGTCTAACTGTATTTGGGCTGGAACTTGAGCGTGCATTTAGAGGGGTGTGCACTTATAGAGGGTGCACTTAGAGGTCTGACTGTATATAAGGTGATAAGAAAAAGGGTAATATTATTTTAATTAAAATTGATAGCGAATAGTAAAAATTTTTAAAACACTCGTCAACCTGTCATTCAAAATTATGATATGATTTCACGGACATTCATGTCCGTGAAGTCAAGTGATGATATTGAATAGTGGATTGAATGGCATATTGAATGACATTCGAATTATGTCATATGTGTTGAACTTTTTAATTTGGACTAGTAAAAATATTAAAAATGATTAAATGGATATACATTGAAACCTCTCTAAATGCACACTCGGATTCTGGCCCACATATATATACATGACCTCTATAAATGTACTTTTTCTTATCATTCTCTAAGTGCATTTTGTGTGCACTTAGGGAGGTTTCACTGTATATAGATTTAATTATTTATTATTAAACTTGTTTAAAGAATAAAAGAAGATTGAGGTATTTTTTTTGTATAATATGATTTTAAAATTAGTAATTAATTGGTATTTTGGTGCTACTGTATATATTGTAGTAAAATATAGTAGGCATATATAGTCAAACCTCTATATAATCACCTCTCTATGAGCATATCATATAAAAATTCTTTTTATTACCACATCTACTTTAAACCAGCACTATAAATATATCGAGAAAAACTAAGCAAATTTTTGAAGAAAACCACTATAATCTCGATAGTATGATTATAAGGTGATTAGACTATAATGAGCGAGTTTATAACAAAAAAAAGAAAAAAATATATGAATGAAATATGAAATATAGGATTTTATAAGAGCAGTTATTCTCATATTTCATATTTGGTAGATTGAAATAACTATCACGTAAATTACGCGAATGACGTAATGATTACATGAAATACAAGCATACCAGATATAGGGTATCGACAATTTTGTGTAAATCAACTTTAAGTAATGATCTACAAACAATCAGCTTGTGAATTTTATTACTGTATTATAGCTTTCGTAACTTTGAACAAACTTTTTATTGAATATATATTAAAATCGAAAATAAAAATTTTTTATAAATTTATAAGCAGCAAGCTTATAATCAGAACATATTTGTCAGACATACACATTTGCAACAATAAATTTAATCCTTATTAATACCTAAAGCCTTTTCTTTTTCGATATTTGCTAACTCCTGGGCACGAAGGTTAGCTAATTTTGCTCTTTTTTCAATATCTAACATTTCTTTTTGGTGCTGAAATTCATAGTCGATTAGTTCAAGTTTTCGTAACTTTTCTCGTTTGGCAATTTCAGTATCCAAATCGTTTAATTCTTCATTGTTTGCCGTAGCTGCATTAGAATTTGAAGTTCTTTTGTTTGTAGGCGGATTTTTTTTGCGTTTTGAAGGTTCTAATATATATACATACATATTTATAATAGTTATATATTAATAAATTAATTAATATTGGTATATATAGCATATATTGTATAAATATAGTTTTTACCAAATTTTTTAATTGACTTAGTGGCTTTAGCTATAGGTCCTGACGAACGACCAGTTTTGGGGATATTGTATTGATCTTGACATTCACACATTGCAAATCGACGTTCATCTAACCGTTTTCCTCTATATATATATTTTTTAAAAAATATAATTATGTTAGATAAAGATAACAAACTTTGTTTATTAAGAGCATTTATAGAATATTATTTATTATTATATCTAAATATATGGTTAAAATATATATTTATATATATGTATAGTAAAACCTCTATAAGCGTACATCCTCGAAAATTAAACCTTAACAATATGTACTTAGAAACAATAAGAAAAGTGCATTTATAATCTGAATAACCAAAAAATAATTCAGTTATTCATTTATTAAGGTTGTCGCTCAATTCCCCGAAAGACACTCCTCGACAGGTCACTTACTCAACATCACATAGGTTTAGAGTTAGCATTCTATTAGTTGTGGGTATTTATTTTTAGCAAGTTGTTACCCTGTGTGATGTCTAGTCAGGGAAATAACTTTCGGGGAATCATGCTGTAACTAGTGATGGGAAAAATGCGCATATTATAATAACATGCGCATGAATGCGCATTAATGCGCACGAAATGTTTCATGCGCATGATATCGCATAATAAAAAAAAGGCAAAAAAAAGAAAAAACGATCGAGAGGAGAGAAATCTTGATGGGATAAAATGCGCATGAAACCCATCTCTAGCTGTAACCATTTATTAATTCTTTTAACCAATTATCTGTCAGATATTAGATACCTGATAGATAAATAGATAAATAATTTACAGATAGAACCTTTATTTTTAACCACAGTCAGACCTCTCTAAGTGCACTCCCTATAAGTGCACACACGCTCAAGTGCTGGCCCAAATATATACTTGATCTCCATAAATGCACTTTTTCTTATTATTCTCTATATGCACGTTATTAAAGTGTGATCCCAAGGGCGTGCATTTGGAGAGGTCTGACTGTATATAAAATAAAATAAGAATTAAATACAAACTTTCTAATTGCAAGCAATAAACTCATTTGAGTTCCTTCTCGATTAGCATCGGCATGTGCTGACTCAGCAGCATTTGTATTTTCTCCCGCACTACGCCAATCTTCTTCAGCAATATTTGAATAATTATAATTTAAAGATGCTAATCTCCATGGCTTCATATAATAATTTCCCCATTCTATATTTTTTAAAAAACTCAAGTAACTATAATTTGTACCATGATATTTATTTATTAGAATATATAATAAAACTTATACCTAATGCTCCATCTTCATCCGACGTAGCAAATTCTTGAAATATATCAACTACACGATCCTTATTAGCTGTCAATAGCTCATACATTAAATTTTTTAAATTATTAGAAAGTTTTGACTTTAAAATATTTCTATAAAAAAAAAAGAAATTACATTAATTATATTATTAGTAATGCAGTTAGACCTCTCTAAGTGCACTCTCTGTAAGTGCGCACTCTCTAAATGCATGCTCAAGTGCTGGCCCAAATATATACTTGACCTCTATACATGCACTTTTTCTTATTGGTCTCTATATACATGTTATTAAAGTGTGGTTCCAAGGGCGTGCACTTAGAGAGGTTTGACTATAATATCTAAAATTTTTAAAATTTTAAATATACTTTCCTTTTATAGTGAACACGACAAGATTTAAAAATATATTTTAAATGAGTTTCCCAGTCTTTAGTTGGATCTAAATCTACAAGCATTAGAGCAAGACCTTTCGCTTGTGCAATGTCTAGGTCACCAAGAATAACACGCCAACCATCATTATGGATATGTTTAATTTGAACCTTTTGTTTACAAAGCTCATTAACAGTTTCAATTACAGCTTTGAACATACGCTGATAAGAAGTTGCAGTCGAAATATTTGTAAAAATTCGTGCATATGTAAGTACTAAAAATATAAAAATTAGTAATATAATATATAAATAATTAAATATATATTGTATAAAGTTTACTTAACTAATATTATGATTTGAATCAAATTCATTAAATTCAAATTCATTAATTTTTCCATGAACGCGTTTAAATGTCAAATCAACTTGAAAATATTGAGCATGCAATAGTCTTGTTGCCATATTCTTATTCATGCACAATATAAAAACATGGCCGTCTTCAAAAAATGCTATTCATAAATTAAAGATTAATATATATATATATATTATATATACAGTTAGACCTCTCTAAGTGCACTCTCTATAAGTGTACACCCTCTCTAAATGCACGCTCAAGTGCTGGTCCAATATATATTTGACCTCTATAAATGCACTTTTTCTTATTGTTCTCTATATGCATGTTATTAAAATGCGGTCTCAAGAGTATGCACTTAGAAAGGGTTGACTGTATGTTGTATGCTAAATTAAAATTTGTGTTAAATTAAAATTAAGATATTAAGTTGAATTAGAATTAACGAGTAAGGTATTGGCAATATTATAATTATCTTTTAATTTAGCACAGATATTAATTTGATATACAACATATATACAATAAATATTTTATTATTTACCAATTCTTTGAACATATTCACGGAGATGATCTAAATTAGAAGAGAAGGCATGAATTAAACCTAAGATGCCCTGCCCATGTGGGTAAATTGAATGTTGAACCCGAGAAACCAGATAGCGAAGGTGATCTAAATTATTCAAAGACGCATGTATTTCTGGTAATAGCTCATTTCCAAAACAACTTTTAATTAAATTTCCTAAATTAAAATATTTATTTTATATTTTATATTTTATAATTAGTAATTAACAATATATATTATAGTTAAACCTCTCTAAATGCACTCTCTGTAAGTGCACATTCTCTCTAAATGCATGTTCAAGTGCTGGTCTAAATACATACTTGACCTCTATAAATGCACTTTTGTTTTCTATATGTATATTATTAAAGTGCGGTTCCAAGAGCGTGCACTTAGAGAGGTTTAACTGTATATTTCTTATAGTATATAATTAGTAATTTAATTAAACTTTTTTAAATGCATCTTACAAAAACTAAATACTAATAGCATGCATTTAAAAAAAAGTGCATTATGAAGGTTATATATATATTTGGATCAGAATGTATTTAGATAGTTTCACTAATACAATCAGATCTTTCTAAGTACAACCCTCTTAAATACAACCTTTAACGCTGACCCAAATATATACTAGGCTTTATTAAATATAATTTTTTTTTATCATTCTTCAAATGCAAGCTATTAAAAGTCTAACCTTCAAGATTTGCATTTAAGAATATTTGACTATATTATATATATTTTTATAATATAAAGTTAATACCTGATATTAATCTACGTGGTGTTATATGCTCTAAATCCATTGAAGCAGTTTCTATTAAAGTTTTAAGTCGATCCTGAATAGCTTTTGGTACGTTATTTGGTGGTGGCGGAGGATGTGAATGTTCTCCAATACAAAGTAATACTACAAAAGGACACTCTATTAAATTAATAGGTGTAAGCCGATAAAATTTAACTTCACACGGCATATTTTCTAATGGTGCTTCATATGGATGATTATATTCATCAAGATGGGGAAATGCTTTAAAAAATTTAAATTTTATTAATATATTATATGTTATAAATTTACAATTTTAATATATTAATATACATCTAAGTGCACTCTCTATAAGTGCACACACTCTCTAAATGCATACTCAAGTGCTAGCCCAAATATATAATTGACCTCCATAAATACACTTTTTCTTATTATTCTCCATATACACGTTATTAAAGTGTGGTCCCAAGAGCATGTACTTGAAAAAGTCTAACTATATAGTCAAAACTTTTCTAAATGCAGTCTATAGAGACTAAACATTAATAATGTACACTTAAAAACAATAAGAGAAAATGTATATTTACGGAGATTATATTTAGATTTGGACAAAAATTTGAGTGTGCATTTAGAAAAGTTTATTGTATATTATTTTTTAAATAAATTATTATATACTTACAACAAAACTTTCTGTGTGTTGTATTAGGTAAGATAGTACAACATCTATCTTGAATTAATGAGCGGTCAAACGATTCTCCTTCTAAAAGACGCCGAATTAAGTTAACATCACATGATTCGGGTATTGGAATAAATCGATGCCAGCTATCTCCATTAATCCATAAACTACATCCAATAAAATAACCATCTTTGCATTGTAGTATTAATGATGTTCGATTATTACTTTGGTTTGGATTGGCTCTATATTGTGTTAAAGTATGTTCTTTAATTCTTCGTAAAACTGGCAAACCAGCACATGCTAAACCATTAGATAAAGTTTTTGGACATGATTTTTTAATTATGGCGAGATAAAATCTAAAATAATATAATAATTTTGTTAATTAAATAGCTATATTTTATAGTTGATACTGTCTAAATGCATAATACAGTCAGACCTTTCTAAAAGCACTCTCTGTAAGTGCATACACTCTCTAAATGCACACTCAAGTGCTGGCCCAAATACGTACTTAATCTCTATAAAGGCACTTTTTCTTATTGTTTTCTATATGCATATTATTAAAGTGCAATCCCAAGGGCATTTACTTAGAGAGGTTTGACTATATTAACTATATAATTAAAACAATACATACGCAAGTGTATTCGTATAAGTTGTTCTATTCGATGATTCATTTTTAATTGCTTTAAAAACCTTAGAATCAAAATCAACATTGCAATGTTTTGCTGATTTAATTTGATCATCAGCATGAGGACAAATTGTAACGCCTTGACACCTTCTCTGATCTTTGGTTACAATTATGTTACCAAAAAAGGGGCATTTAACTTTTGTCTGACCACCAGGACCTAAGCTATACTGAATCTAAATAATATTATAATATGTAATATTAATATATATCTAATTAAAAGATATTATATATATTTTGATCAATCGCATTCAAAAACTTTTTAGGTACTTATTTATAATATAACTACAGTTAGATTTCTCTAAATGCACTCTCCGTAAGTGCATACACTCTCTAAATGTATACTCAAGTGCTGGCCCAAATATATACTTAGCCTTTATAAATGCACTTTTTCTTATTGATCTCTATATACATGTTACAGTCAAACCTCTTTAAGTGCACGCTCTTGGGACTGCACTTTAATAATATACATATAGAAAACAATAAGAAAAAGTGCATTTATAGAGATTAAGTATATATTTGGGCCAGCACTTGAGCGTGCATTTAGAAAGAGTATAAACTTAGAGAGAGATTTAACTGTATATATTTAATTTAAATAATTAAGTATAAATACAATATTGTATTTAATTTTTAATGTTAAAAACAATATATAAAAGTTTTAATATAAAAATAAGTACATAAAAACGTAGCAATAATAAATCAATTATATGCTAAGTAGTTAGATATAAGCAAAAATTTACTAAAAAAAAGCATAATAAACATATTATAGCCGATTCATTAGTTATACTTTCCTACTAAACTTTGCTTATATTTAACTTACTATTTTACTTTTTAAATTTAATAGTACAGTATTTATTAAAATTAATACTTACATCTTGAAAAACTGTATGCGCCTTTTTTTTTAATTCATCTTGTATTTGCTTTTTTCTTTGAATTTGCTCTTGAGTTAGTTCTTGTTCTTCTTTTTGAATTAGATCTTGTTCATTATCATTAATATAATCTTCAATATTAAGTACATTATAAACTGTAACAAAGCCAGATGGCCCCTTGTCATTTAGTGGACTTGTTGAAGGATATTCGACTGAAACTGTAGAATAATATATATTATTAGCATCAACGGCTAAACGAGTAGTAAGATATGCAACAGTTTCTTCAAATTCTTCATTTTCTTCGATGCTTATAATATTTTCATCAGAATCCAACTAAAATTAAACATTTAAATATTAATATTTAATTTATGTATTATATAACACTTGAGATATACCTCTTGTAAAATAAGTTTAGCCTATATTCCATATATCTTGTACAAAATTTTTTATATAAGTTATGCGTTTATACAATAATTCAAATACAGTCAAACCTCTCTAAGTGCATGCCCTTGGGACCGCATTTTAATAATATGTATATAGAGAACAATAAGAAAAAGTGCATTTATAGAGGTCAAGTATATATTTGGACCAGCACTTAAGCATGCATTTAGAGAGGGTGTGCACTTACGGAGAGTGTACTTAGAGAGGTTTGACAATATATACTAAAATTCTATTAAATTTTCTTAATAAATAGTTTATCTTATATGAGGTACATCTCTATATAAAACAATGTTCAAAGATAATATTTACTACTTGTTCGGTATTAATTTCAATTTCTTCTTCAGAAAATGATTCCATTTTATCGTTAAAGTTGATATTTTTTATAAATTCGATTGAATATTTATAATATTTTTTTATGACTATTCTAATATGTATATATACAGTTTAAGTGTACCCTCTACAAGTATATACACTTTCTAATATACGCTTAAGTGCTACCCAAATATATGCTTGACCTTTATAAATGCACCTTTTCTTATTATTCTTTATATGCATACTATTAAAGTGTGGTACTAAGAACATGCACTTAGAGAGGTATGACTGTATATTTAATTACTATCATTACTACTATACTAGTCAATTGATTGATTTATTGCTATCATCAGGAAACTTTGAAAACTGGTTGTAATCGATAATTCTAATTGATTATAATCACTGAGCTATTTTTAAAAATGGTATAAGTTTAATAAAGATTTTAAATTCTTAGTATTTGATTTTAACAAAGTTTTCGATGGAATTTAATATAACATATGAATTATAGTTATAACAATTATGGTAAAATTTTTTATTACTTTCTTAAATTAGTATATATTAAATTAGATAAATATGACTAGTATATTTACAAATATGTGTTAGAGTTAAGCTTATCTATATATTTAAATATTATTTATTCAAAACTAAAAAGCTTGTTAAACCCAGTTTCTGAGTTGACTTTAATCAAACATTTTGAGATTCCAAACCTATTTTGAACAAAGTCCAAGCATGGATGTATATCGTTTAGTTTAATTCATAATTAATATGACATTCTAGTTAACTTAAAAACTGGTTTTGAATTAAAGTTTTATTTCGAGAATAAACTACATTTATAAAGGTTATACATATATTCGGGCCAGTGCATTCTCAAAGAGTATGTACTTATAGAACTTTTACTATATTCTTTATTTAGAGAAAATTTTGAGAGTATACAATAAATAATAAACGAAAAATAAGAATATTTAATTCTTACTAAAATCAGAGTATTTACAATTCAAAATCTGATATACAGTATGCTTTTCTATATCTATCAAATGTGTTTATGCAATTAGAAAGAATTCATATAGTTAAGCTATCAAGAATGCATAATAATACCCAATAAAAGAACAAAAGAATCTATTAATATTACACGATTGAATTTTCACCTATTGTGCAGCATATAAAAAATTAATTTACAATATCAGATCATTCCACCAGTACATGTTATGATTATATCCAACTATTTTTATTATAATACAATGGCGTTAGATTATAATAATAATATGTACTAGCAGAATGATCTGGTATTGTAAATTAATTCTTTATATATTGCACACTGGTGAAGTTTTAGTTATATAACATCGATGGTTTCTTTTGTTTAATAATAGTAAGATAAGATTAAAGTGGCTATAGCAATACAAAGATAGAATGTCTATTAAAAGCAAAAACGCAGCTTTGTGATTTATAATATCGTGAGCAGACTATAAAAAAGCTATTGCTAAGCCCCAAGAACGCAAGAGTAAATAAGAAAGAATAATCTTAAAAACCGCTCTTTGTTTGGATAATCAGACTACATAATAGTGCTAATCTATAAAAAGAAAGGTTTAATTAATAAAATTAGATTAACAATTAGCGTTAGGAAAATATATAAGGTAGTAGGATTAATTTAGTTAAGCTTGTGGCTATGTCAAACTGTCAATTTTATACTCACGAAAGTTGAATAAGTTTAGAAAATTATGCAATCAAGAATTGTAATAATGCAATCTAAAAAGTTCAATCTTATTCTTCCCATATGCAAATAATTTATAGTTATTATATGGAAATCTGGGTTTATATCCAAACTACATAGCTTTCGGCCATGTAGTTTGGATATAAACCCATGTTACACACAGATTTCTATACGATAAATATATTATTATACAGGTCTTTATAATTGAAAGATTTTTAAACTTTGGTAATAGAGTCAGAACATATTTTTAAAGTTCTAATAGTTTCGAATTTAAATTCGAGTCTATTTTTTTTCTTATAAAATTTTAAATAATGTAATTAATTAAATAACTACATTTTAGAGATTTTTTTTTTTATCGATCAGTAAGGTATTGTTAGACCTAAAATAACTCCCAAAGTTCCGGAATTATACGGACATTCATGTCTGTAAGATCATGTGATCCATGTGATACCAGTTGAATGCAGTGTTCGACCAAACCGGGATTACAGAAGATCAGTATGGTACGAAGATCAGTACAAGTATAAAGTCGTACCATACTGATCTGCGAATATAGTTTTTTAATATAGTAACAGACTAGTATGGTACAAATTTTAAATATGTATAAACTAT